CATTTACACAATAGAGTACTACACAAGAGAACAAAAATAATGACATCTTGGAATTTGCAGGCAAATGAATTCATCTAGAAAGCACCATATTGAGTGAGTTAAGCCATACCCAGAAATACAAATAACATATGTATTCACTCATAAGTGGCTTTTACACATAAAGCAAAAGAAAAAAAGCAACAACAGCAAAAACCAACAGCCTACAATTCACAATCCCAGAGAACCTATACTACAAAGAGGACCCTAAGAGACAAACATGGATCTAATGTACATGGGAAGTAGAAAAAGACAAGATCTCCTGAGTAAATTGAGAGCATGGGGACCATGGGAGAAGGTAGAAAGGGAGGAGAGAGTAAGGGGGGAGGCAGAAAAATATATAGCTCAATAAAACCAATAAAAATTTTAAAAACCATGAAAGCTAGAATATAGGATAGATTTCAGTTCGGGCACTTACGGGTATATACACGTGTATGTGTACATGTGCACGCACGTGTGCACATATTAGTGTGTATACGTGTGTGAGTGTGTATATGTCTGGAATTCTGGAGTTCTTGTGTTTGTGAGCACAGCCGTGTACTAGGACATTGGTATAACTTATATCTGGGCAGACCTGGGGCAGTGGTCTCTTGCTCAGGACCCTTTCAGGCCTTTGTACCTCTGGGTATTCATCTGTATAATTTGTAATTAAACTGGCAGTGTCCTCTAAGGTGTTTGTCTAAGCTTTACGCAGTACTATAGCTAATGATCGGAACTGGGGGTGGGGTGAGAACTCCTGAGTCGGAGGCGCCAGATGAAAGAAAAGCAGGCATGAGCTGAGAAACCACTGCTTACCATGGGTGTTGGAAGTGACAGAGAGTGTGAGCTCTGGAGGCATCTGTCCTGAGTCTGTGCGGTTAGAATCAGAGTAATATGCAGATAAGACAGACAAATCTGCAGGGAACTGGAGGATTGCTGTTTGTAGAAGAAGCACACATTTGTCAGGATGAATTTAGACAATTCTTCTCTTTTATAGTCCTCTGTTTTCGTGACACTGGTGACTGAGCACAGGGCTTCATTCATGGGGCAAAACTCTAAAAACTACGTACTTACACGAACTACACAGAGTGTTTGGTGGGTCTCTCTCAGGTCGTCTAAACGAATTTCACAGAAAAAGATATGTTAGTCTACAATCTGGTTGTTTCCAGGAAGAATCTGTGTTGAGGAATTTTCCTTTACGCTGTGTGAAGATATGTCACTGTGACTGGTTTAATAAAGAGCTGAATGGCCAATAGCCAGGCAGGAGGTATAGGTGGGACTTCTGGGCAGAGCAAACTCTGGGAAGAAGAAAGGCGGAGTCTGCCAGCCAGAGGCAGAGAGAACAAGACATACAGGAGAAGAGGTAAAAGTTGTGAGTCACGTGATAACACGTAGATGAATAGGAATGGGTTAATTTAAGTTACAAGAGTTAGTGAGAAAGCCTAAGTTATAGGCCAAGCTTTAATAATCAGTCTCTGGGTTTCTTTCTTTCTTTCTTTCTTTCTTTCTTTCTTTCTTTCTTTCTTTCTTTCTCTTCCTTTTTTTTTTTTGTGAGCTGGTGGCCCAAAGGAAAAAAAAAATTTGCCCACAAATCTGAGAAGCTGGAACAGGCTATTTTCTCCCCATGTCTCTGGGAGAAGTCTACACAGATGCAAAAGTCTAGCTCCCGATTTTGACAATACCAACTCTGAACTTCGGGGAGCACATCCATTTCCCTGACTCCTAGTTTCTTCAAATGGAGATATAACAACACCAAGTCTTAATTAAAGAGCACATCGGCCTAAAACTGAACAGTGGGCTTGGAGGGACTCAGCACACACTAGAGTCATGGAAATGACATTGGGAAGGGCACCAGTTATGAGAGACACCGCTATTGCCGGGTGGGAGAAATCACGGAGGTAAAATCTATCACCACAGCTGGGCAAGAGGGAAGCTTAACTTAGGAATAAAGACTTGGGAGGCATTTTTTCTGAATTTGTTGTAAAATATGCCCAACTCCCCACTCTTTTGGTTCTTCATGTAGGAGCTCCTGCCTGATCATTACAGTATATGACATGCCCAACCGATGAGACTCGGCTCAATAGAAGAGAAAGCAGGAATAATTGGCACCATTTCTTTCTCTAACACATAAACTACTTATTTTGAGGCACACAATTATTAAAGCTATAATAGGCTATTGGCAGGTAGGAACTTGGAAGCTAAGACATGAATTATGAACGAGTGGAAACCCTGTGGATAATTCCTAGTGTAGGGAGTAGCTTGTGCTACTTAGCGGCCTTCAGAGAAACAGATCAATAACTGTTATTTAGAAGTCCCCTCCAGCTCCGAGCCGGTTAGGAGCCTTTTTCTCTATCAGCAATCCTGTAATTTCATCAATCTGGTATCATTTGCACTCCGCAGTTAGCAATTAACCTTTATCCAACAGGCTCCGGTTTAGCTTCAGGAACAAAACTGTCAGTCACATGGAATATGCTCAGATTTCAGCGGTGCAGCTAGTTCTATTTAAGACAGATGAAGCAGCTGTTGAAGTTATAGTTAGAACTCAAGTCCGTATTGATTTGTGAGAGCCAATTTCCTGTTTTGAAGGCAATTCAAGGAACCATGGGGATATCTATATCAGTCATTTTAATCTTGGAAAGAGGTAAAGTGCTCCCTGGTAGGGCCATGGTGACATTCTGGCTTCGGGCAGAACTCCTTAGTGGCAGCTTTCTTTGAGATCCCCCATCAGCATTAACCTTATGCTCTGACACCACTGTGTTTGTAAACCACTCTGGCGACGATGCTGGTGGTAATTCAGTTATGGCCTTTCGTCTCACTGGAAACCACAACTTGCAGAGATTATGTCATTGTTTGTCCTTCAGTTACGAAGTCACACAGAGTTTGCTCATCTATGTGAGTTTTTGGAGTAGAAATATATTCTTCTCTGAAAACTGCTAGGTGACCTTCAAAGTTGCCTGTCTGGTCCTTCATCGTCCTAACTGCACAATCAGCTCTACTAACTGGGATTTGGCTCACCGAGTCCCATCAGTGGATCACATCCAGATACACGATCTATCCCAGGTACCTCTAAATTAACTTGGCATCTCAGCAAGAACATTTCCATGTTAATTATTGATGAAATGACATCAGAATGTCCTAGCCATTGTCCTATAGTATATTTTGTTAGAATGATGTTTCTCGTTCTATGATCATAACCTTACAGCCTGTGTCGGAGTCTTTGCAAAGGGTGTTGTAGAAGTGCTCTTCATTCAGACAGTGTCCAAGACTTCCAGATTATTCTTGGAACATTATTCGAGTTTTCCATTTAGTTCTGAAATTTGTTTTTGACTCCGTCTATAAGTAATAACTGAAACGATTTAACTAATAATTAAGAAATAAACAGATTTTACTTTCTCTGAGAAGTAGGAATTCATCCATTTTTTAATATTAATGTGAGTTGGCTGGCATATAAAATGCCATTAGTGAAGGAGAAAAAGAGTCCAGAAACTGAGCATACATCTGCATATAAGATGAAAGTGTTCCAAGTAGGGAAAGTCATGCCCACTTGAATTAGTCACAGACTGAATTCGGAAGGAGTAGAAGCTTTTGTTTAGAAGATTAACATTTTGCTTAATACATAGATACAGTTGCTTTCCGAGATGAAAATTAAATAACATCCAACTGAAAAACAAGGGACTGACTAGCCTTAAGGAACAGTCTTTAGGGAGACGGCTCTGTGGGTAAAAATGGTGCCATGCAAGTATGAGAATCGGCATTTGAACTGCAGCACCCTTGTAAAAACTGGGAGCAGGGCACCAGCATCTGTAATCACCACCTTCCTACATAGCAAGAAGGGCAATGGGGACAGGAGAAGCCCTGAAAGCTAGCCTGACATAGGCAGTAGAAGAACAACAAACCCTGTCTCAAACAAGGTAAAGTGTTAGACCAATACCTGGGGTTTCCTCTGCTTCATCTGTATACACCAAGGCACATATACCACATTCACACACATGTACTCATGTGTACATGTGCATGTGCACATAGATGCACACATACACTAATTGATGTTTTTAGAGGAGAAAAAAAAGCCTATATAATGAGCTTAAAAGTCCCAGAGAAACCCTGTGTGTTGTCTAGTTCTCCCAAAGCAGAGCCCTTAGGCCTTACTCCATTCTCTGCATGATGGAGCCTATGCCCTTCTATTGCATTCTTTTTTCACAGACCACAAGGATAAAACATCTGAGAGAAATGGAGAGATCTGGAACTCGCTGAGACGAGTGAGGGATCACTTCATTTTAAAAGAGGAGAAACCACTGGATTGTTTTTGAAAACTTGATGTCACTTCTGCAGGCTTTATAATGATGCAAGTGTGGCGAATACTAAATATGAGTTTCCCTGGAGTGAATTACTGATGTAACTCTTCCTTTTACACCAAGTTTGAGTTATATTATTTAGAAATCAGAGTTATTACTGATTGTAGGTCTGCCTAAAATGCACAAACATTTTGAATCTAACTGTGAATCTAGTGTATGTGTGGGGGGAAGTAGTTCTTATGAGATTTAAGAACTTTAATGATCTAATATATAAAGCATTATATGTAGTGATATTTCATTTTTATTTTAATAAATAATACTTGCCTGAAGATCAGAGAGTAAAACAGCTCCATTGGTCAGCCTTACAGACCAGGCAGTGGTGACAAACACCTTTAATCTCAGTAACCGCACTAGTTTGCCATAGAAACCGGGAGATAGTGGTGTACACCTTTAATTCCAGCCCTAGAGAGGATTATAAAATGGGAGGAAACAGCTCTCAGACACAATTCTGGAGGCAGGATTGCTATTTCAGACCAAAGTAAGAGGTAAGAGCCAGTGGTTGGCTATTTTACTTTTCTGACCTTCAGGTTGAACCCCAGTTTCTGTTCCTGGGTTTTTATTAAACATGACATAGATACGTATGTGTATATATAATTATTTTAATAAAAATACCTCTATGGCCTCAGTACTTACAATTAGAAGAAAACCCACCATGGTTGAACTGGGTGTAGAGGGACCAGGCACCTCTCTTCACTCTTGTTCCCAGCGGTGGGCACTGTGGTGCTGTTAGAGTTTGAAAAGCAAAGATAGAGGTCATGGCCTTCTCAGCTCATATGAGGTGGGTACTGAGGCTTAATTATGCTAAGTACTTCCCCTAATAACAGCCACCCACTTATACACCTAAGACTTGGACTTAAGATGTCCCCCTTCCGAACCAGGTAACAAGTTGGTCACAATCTCATTCCTTCTGAGCATGCCAAATCTTGCTTTCATTTCTTAACTGTGCTACTGGGTAACTTGGGGATATGACCTTGATCACAGTTAACTTTTAAAATTTCTGCTCTTTTGTCCTACAGTAAGAATGATGAGGGGAAAATACTAAAAATAGATCCACAGTAAATTTTGATCTCTCTGAAAAGGACTCGAGGCAAATGCCTGCAGAAATTCCCTAAGACAACTACAGAAAGTCAAATGGAGCAATTGCATTAACAGGAGCTTCAAAGAAAGCAAACCAGAGCCACTGTTCCTCCAGGCATCTACTCAGGCAAGGCCTTTGACATGCGCAGAATGCTGAGCACTTGCAGGAGATTAATAAGTGTTTTATTATGGTAGTGCTTTGCAAAGTATTTCCCAGAAGGACCTCGTGCAGGTCTGCTTTTCTGTCACTGCCACGAAATACCAGACAGAGTTTTAGCAGAAGAGAAGGAGGAATTCTCTCGGTTGATGGTTTGGGTCCACCATAATAGAAGAGCATGGGTAAGCAGAGGTGTTCCGTTTACTACGGAAGTCAGAAAGCAAAGTGACAGGGGAGGACCAGATACGGCCTTTGAATTCTTCAAAAGCACACTCCAGGGACCTATTTCTTCTGACCAACCTCAATGCCTAAAGTACTGGTTCTCAACTTTCTTAATCCTGCGATCCTTTAACACAGTTCCTCATGTTGCGTGACCCGCAAACATAAAATTATTTTTGTTGCTACTTCATAATTATAATTTTGCTACTGTTATGAATCATAATGTAAATTTTTTTTGAGATAGAGGTTTCTCAGAGGGATTGCAACCCACAGGTTGAGGACCAGTGATTTAAGCTTTTACCAGTTCCTAAAATAAGCCTGCCAGGTGTTGGGGGGACTTTTCATACTCAAACCGTGACACACCTTTGACAGCAGAGGAATGAGTACGTACAGCTCTCTTCCCATACCACCAACTGAGTGTGCAGACGGATGGAATTACTAGCAAACACAAATTATGTTGAGTACGTTTAGGTTAACTCTTTCATCAACTTGACACAAGCTAGAGGCATTTGGGAAGCAGGACCCTCCATTGAGAAAATGCCTCCATCAGATTGGCCTGTGGGGGCATTTTCTTGATTAATGATTGATGTTGAAGGGAGGTCTAGGCTCCTGTGGGTGGTGGCATTTTTGGGCAAGCGGTCCTGGGCTATATAAGAAATCAGACTGAGCAAGCTAGGGGCAGCAAGTCAGTAAAGTAGTAGCATTCTTCCATGGTTTTGGATTCAGGTCCTGACTTTTCTTTTTGATGAACTTTATGTAAACTGTAAGATGAAATTAACTCTTTCATCCCTAAGTTGCTAATGGCCATGGTCTTTATCACAACAACAGAAAGTAAAGTAAGACAGTGTCTCATGTTATATATCAAGACATATATTTGTTATCTTATACCTCTCTTGCCTTTCTTTTCATATTTAAAATTACAAATTGGTTTTTAATGAAAAATGATCAATTTTATAATATACCTAATATATTATAATCTAATATATACCTAATATATAAGAATATAAAGTTAAAGACAAATCATATCTAAAAACTAATAATTACATATTAAGAGAAAAACTCTTACATAAAAAACGCTTGCCTTCTTGCATACAAACTTTAAGAAGGTGGGAGGGGCTGGAGTGTGTTGGAGACAATGCCTATTGGCTCTTGAGAGGAAGCTGTAAGCATATTTTCTCAGTATCTCTTCCTTTATAATTTGTGTGTGTGTGTATGTCCTAGAGTAGCTAGTGTTTTTAAACACTACATGTAAGCACCACAATCAGCATATGAGAAACATTTCCTTGGGCTCATCAAGTTTTTCTAAGTAGAGTTTCATGGTTCATGTATTTGATGCTAGTACTTAAGAGACTGAGGCAGGAGGATTGCCATGAGTATGAGAAAAGCCTGGACTCTGTAGTGAGTAACATGCCAGTGTGAGAGCCTGCTCAAAAAAATCTGAAACGTTCCTCTGTACTGGCCTTTATAGTCAACCCCTTCCCTCCTACCAGAGTTCTGACTGTCATGATCCTGATTCAATCTAGTTTTGTCTATTCTAGAATGCTCTCTAATGGAACTATACAGGACCTAGTTTTGTATCTGGATTAGTCACTCATTGCACTGCTAAGAGGCATATAAGCTGGCAATGTACCTGTGTTTTTGTGTGTATGTGTGTTTCCCTTTTCTGCTGGATAGAATTATACAGTATAGGTGTATCAGTCAATGAATGATAGCTATTTGGGCTGCCCCTGATTTTAAGATACAGTTCTTTTAATAGATATAGTTTCATGTGTTTTGGGAAAATGTGCAGAAGTGGACTTTGGATTACATGACAAATGCTTCTTTCATTTTTGTTTTCAAATGTTCTGTACCATTTTGAGCTTTCATCACTATATGGTAATTCCAGTTTCTCTGCACTCACCCTATTATTTGACGCTGTCAACTTTTTTTTTTCGAACCTAAGCCTAAGGTCTACAGTGGTGTCTCATTGTGGTTGTAATCCCAAGAGTCCTCCAGATTCCATTCATACATCTTGAGAAGTTTAGCCTTGATCTGACTGAGCCATCACCTCTCCTTGTCTCCACACCCTGATATTGTCCCATGCTCCACTCTATTGGTGAACTTCTCCACTGAAATTATATTTAGCTTCTTGAAAATTTCATTTCCCTCATAGCAGTCTGGCTTTCCTTCAATACTTCTGTCTCTTCATTAAATTCCATCTTTCATATCCTGAATTGACTCCTTTACTCTATTCAGCTGATTGCCTTTGGATGGAAAATATTCACTCTGCGCTGAGTTCTTTGAACACATTTATAGTCATTCTTTGGACTTTGCTGGCTGGAACTTCATCCAAGTTACTCTGGTTGGAGCTATTACTAGGGGATTTGTAGTCTTGAGAGGAGAGATGCCTTGGTTTTTATGTTCCTTTTGTTTTAGTGGTGGGCCTCGCACACCAGGAGTCAGGGTGATTGGGTGAGGTTCTTTGTTTTCCATGTCACATTTCTTTCAAGGAGAGTTAGTCCTCATTATTTGTGTGTGAGAACTATGGTGGTTCCTTCCACTCCCAGAGGGGTCATTTATGACAGTTTTCTCAACTAGCTCTTTATGTGCCGGTGAACATTGAGTTTCACAGCCCTGTGCTACCTTGTAGCCTGACCTACCTCTGCTCTCAATATTTGGGATCTCTGGCCCCCTTCTGGCTCACAGCTAGGCTGGCCCTTCATCTGCTGCATTTGATTTGGATCCCTGAACCTGTGCGTCTGAGCCTGCATCATCATCATCATCATCATCATCATCATCATCATCATCATCATCATCATTATTCTTGGGCTGTTCTCCGCCTTTACCATTGGGTGGTGTGGTCCCCACACGAGTGTGCCCTACCCTGGTTCACCTTCAGACAGTCCTAAAGAGTCTGAACCGTTAAGCACTATATTGTATAGTTTCTCATTAGCATAAAATAGCGGCATAAAGAAGATCTGCCTCTGTTACCATTGGTCAGTTGTCTTCGCAGAGTCTGCCTGTTGATTGGCATATAAAAATAATGAGTATGGATCTCGTCCGTGTAGTATATTTACTTCTACTTCTCTATAATGGACCTAAATTGCTCTAATCTTTTATTTGGAGTAGAAAAAAAAGTATTTCATTCTTGCTTTCCCCACCTGGCACTTTTTGGTTGTCGCCACACCATTGAGGATCTCAGGTACCACCTTCCAGGGTACCATCAATGCCAGGCCCTGTCTGAAATAGTCTTGACTTTATCCAGTGCTTAGTTGTAAGGATTACTGTCAATGATGGCAAGGGATCTCCAGATCCGTGTCTTGAGCCTCTCTTATCGCTTAGAAAACCATCCCATTGTCCCCACCCCTTTTGGGGGCCACAAGAAAAGCCTGAGTGAAGCTTCCTAAGGTACATTTCACCCCACAAGCATTTCCACAATGGGTTCCTTCATTATCCTAGAGCCGGGGAGCTCTAGCCTTGTCCCTGGGCATCCTGTGTTTGGGAAGGAAGATGGAAAACAACCCTGGGTCACTCCATTCTTGATTGTGTCAATAGGTAGAATTCCTATTACTTATATTTCTTCTTTCTTTCCCTCCCTCCCTCCCGTTTCCTTCCTTCTCCCTTCTTTCCTTCTTCCCTTCTTTCCTCCCTTGTTCCCTCCTTCTCTCCCCCTCTTCCTTCCTTTTGACATAACCAGAGGCTGTCTTGATTGATTCTATCCCATGTGCCTTCTTTCTCATATACTTTTATTCTCCTACTTCAGGGAGACATTCATTCTAGCTAATCATATGTTAAGACTTTTAATTTCTATGCCCTGCCATATCCTTATAGCAATGAAGATGAGAAATCTGAATTTCCTTGGATGAAAGAGGGACATGATGTGTAGAAGCAATAGGAAAATGCTTTAAAAATCTCAGCTTAAGTTCCAGATTCAAAGACATTATTCAGCATATCCATGTCATTGGTAGAGTTTATTTGACCTCTGACTCTTGGTGAATTTTAACCTTATGGACCAGTCTCTACAATGATGAATTCGTCAATGGATCTAAATGCTAAGGTGGTTCAGAGTGATGTTCAAAATAGTACCAAGTGTGGTATACAAAGACAGCTTTCTAGGGACAGAAATGGGGGAGGAAGTAATCCTGGCGTCCTGAGCTGCAGCCAGGGACTGTGTGGCCTGGAAACCTTGCAGCCATTTGGACCACAGTAAGGATGGAAGACTGAGCAGATGTCTTGAAAAAAAAAAAAAAACCTAAAACTTAAAGAATTGAAGGAAAGAAGTTTTGACATTAAAACCTATGACAAGAAATATTGATTCTTGACTCTGTAGCTCAGGCTGGCCAGAACCTCAAATTCCCCTAACTCAGCATCTAGGCATGGACTGCCTGTTTATTTTTCTTGAAAGCCGAAACTATCATTGGATATTTGTTCTGGTTTTTGTTTCTTTTTAAATTTTATTTTATTTTATTGTTTTTTTTTATCTGTATGTATGTGTGAGGATGTTGGATCCTGGGATTACAAACGGTTGTGAGCTGCCATGTGTGTCCTGGGAATTGAACCTAGGTCCTCTGTAAGATCAGTCAGTGCTCTTAGCCACCGAGTCATCTCTCAAACCTGGTTTTTGTTTCTTAAAGGGTTTTATATCATTTTTAGGATTTTTCTAGTTCCATGAATGTTATAAAGATTTTTAAGAATAATTGTATTGATTTTAGACATTACTTTTGGAGCACAGGTATTTTAGAAATATTGATTCTTGTTTTTTTTTCTCTCCAATTCATTCTAAAATGTACATTGTAGAGACCTTTGCTGACTTCGATTAAATTTATTCCTGCACATGTTGTAGTATTGTAAATGAGATGACTTTCTTGATTTTAAATTTTTCCCCTGGTGTCATATAGCAGTGTTATTGACTGTTAGACCCAGGAACTTTGATGGACGTTCTTCTTGATGTGGATTTCTGTTCTTTATTGCTTTGTGTTTAATCGATATTGAGTGTGATTTTTTTGTTTTTTAAAATTAAGTCTTTTGTGGTCTATCATATGATCTAGCTTAGAAAATGTACTTTTGAGAGGAGTGTGTAGTTAGCAGCTGTTGGAAGGAATGTTCTGGAGCTGTCAGGTTCATTTTATCTAGGCTGCAATTAAGTTTGGGTGGTCTGTACACCACTGGAAGATGGGGTCTTAATGCCTCTACTATGACTGTATAAGAGTCTATTTCTCTTTAAGTGCATTCATGTGTGTGTTTTTATATATTTGTGTGCCCTAGCCCTGGGTGTTTATACTGTGACTGTTTTCTCTTGCTGAACTGATCTTTTTATCATTATATTGTGACCTCTGTTCCTCGTTTCAGTGCTTTAGATTTAAAGTCCACTTCATAGCAGTATGGTCACTCTGGCTCTTACTGGACTCCTTGTGTGAAGTACTGATTTCATACAGTACACTCAGCCTATACATTTCCTTAGAGGTCAAAATGAGCAACATTTAGTTGGTCTTACAATTTTAGCCATTCATCTCTTTGTATATATTAATATAAGAAGTTAATCTACTTACTTCTGAAGTGATGTAGGCAAGGAATCACAAGTATTTTGTAATTTGGGTTCTAAGTTTAATATAGTAATTTTCTTGTATCAGTGGTTCCTGTTTATTATTTTTATTCAAATGTAGCACAATTAATAAAAGCTCAGGAACAGATATTGGGGTTCAAACTGAAGGTCAGAAAAGCAAAACAGCCAGTCACTGGCTCTTACCTCTACCTCAGTATGAAACGGCGATTCTTCCTCCAGGAATCTCAGAGTGAGACTGGGTCTGAGAGTTGTCTCCATTCATTTTTAAATCCTTTATAGTGCTGGGATTAGAGGTATACATCACCACTGCCTAGTTTCTATGGCAAACTAGTGTGGGTACCAGGAAAAAAGGTCTGTGTCACCACTGCCTGGTCTGTAAGGTTGACCAGCGGGGCTATTTTGCTCTCTGATCTTCAGGCAAGCTTTTTTTATTAAAATACAAATGAACCATGACTACATTTTCCCAACAGATATGAAGAGATTTACATGAACATCTTGATTACAGAAAAATATTCTTAAATTTGTGCAGCATAATGTTACAATGATTAGAACAAAGATAATGAAGGAGAAAATACTAATAAAACATTTTATATTTGTGCTTCAATTCTCACATTTTAACATTTTATTCTTTTGGTGGTGAAATCTGAATCCAGGGGCTTGCAAATGATGGGCAAGTCCTCTACTATAGACTTCATTCCTGACCCCACACTTAAAATTATTGAGGCCCCATCTTCTGTGCTATATATGAGATATATTTATTAATGTAGTTACTATTATTTTTATTTTTGTTCTTCATACTAAAGATGTGAGTGGTTTATGCTTCACATTTCTGTTAAGACATTTTGAATTATTCTGTTATTATTAAATGTGAGTTTGCTAATTTTCTGAGAACTTGCCATAATGACATCCAAAGCAGCTGTACACCAGCAATGGAGTGTGTTCCCTTTATCCCACAGCCTCTCCAGCATAAGTTGTCATCAGTGTTTTTGATCTTGGCCACTCTTACAGGTCTAAGATGGAATCTTAGAGTTGTTTGGCATTTCTCTGATGTCTAAGGACATTGAACATTTCCTTAAGTGTCTTTCAGCCATTTAGGATTCTTCTGTTGAGAGTTCTCTGTTTAGATCTGTACTCCATTTTTTTTTAAATTGGATTATTTGTTTTTTTTTGATGACCAATTTCTTGAGTTCTTTGTATATTTTAGAGATCAGTCCTCTGCCCAATGTGGGGTTGGTGAAGATCTTTTCCCATTTTGTAGGCTGCTATTTTGTCTTGTTGAATTTGTCCTTTGATTTACACTTTTAGACATAAAACAAAAAAAATCATCCTACAATTCACAATTCCAGAGAACCTATACAGCAAAGAGGAGCCTAAGAGATACATATGTGGATCTAATCTACATGGGAAGTAGAAAAATATATAGCTCAATAAAAAGAGATATATAGCTCAATAAAAACAATTCTTAAAAAAACTAGGTTTGCCTCTATTTTCCCTTTACCTTTGTGTCTTTGTTCGAAGAACTACCTTTAGAATTTCTGATGGCCTGGGTCTAGTGGAGATAGATTCTCTCAGCTTTTGTCTGGAAATGTCTTTGTCTCTCCAACATGAACTATAGTATACTTGGTTAGCCTTTCCACTTTTTTTTTTTTTTTACTACTGTGAAGATTCTGTGCTATTTTCTCTTGCCATGGAATGTTCCTGCAAATTACTATACTCTAAGCAAATTAAATCTCTCAGACAGTAATTGTTGCTCACACTCCTCTATTTCCCTCTTCCTTCCCCCTCCATCCCCCTTTCCCTCCCTCCATTCTTCCCTTCTTCCCTCCCCCTTCACTCTCTTTCTATGTATTTAGTTATTTTTGTGCACACATGTAGAGATCAGAGAACAACCGTCAGGAGTCAGGCCCCTTCTTTCACCGTGTGGGACCTGACATTGAACTCAAGTCACCATGCTTGGGGACAACCCCTGTACAGTGAGTTTGTTCATTCGCCTTGATGCTTTTTCTTTTTTATTCTCAGGAATCTACTCTTTACTACTTATGTTTGGGGCTTGATTATTTATTATGGGGTATGTTAGTTGAATAGGAGTGGTGACTTTTGATCTTCTTGTGGCTACATATTAGTATCTTCTCTAGATTTAAGAAGCATACAGATATCTCATTGTATCAAGAAATTTTTAAAAGTTTTTGGGGAGCTTATTCTCCTATTTAATTATTCTGCTCTTGATGCTCTCTATTACACCCAAACTTTCACTTAGTTTATTGTTCAGCTCAAAGATTTTTGTTTTTCAATTCTATCTCTTAAGTTTCTATGAGCTTATTGAGTCATTATGTGTTCTTCTTGAAGCTTTTTGAGTTTACTTGGGTTAAGCTGTTGCATATCTATATGAGAACTCATCCATGCTCATTACTCTATGATCAATTTTTAGTGGCTACTAGATAATAATTTTGACTATTAGATAATAATTTCATGAAAGCTCTTATGCTTGCTGTTTTGTGACACCATTGGAACATTCAGGAATTAAGTATTATACACCATCTAACTTCATTTATGCTTGCGTTTTGGAAGTTATAAACAAACTGTCAATTTTCTGGGTCATCGGTCACTTTTGCCATTTTAGCACTGCAGATGATGTTTTCAGCCCGATGGCTGTAACTTCAGTTTTAGTTAGCAGTGATGATGGTCGATCACGAGTCTCTCCTTGTGGTGACACATGAGCATCTACTCAGAGCCGGGACTTGTCCAGACCATCCACATGTGAGCATGAGTTGAGGATGGATGATCATATCGCCTGAGGTTGGGTGTAGACACATGATGCTAATGAGGGTTGTGCCTGACTTTTATAGCTGTAGGATCCATGCAATCCGAGATACGATATACCTCAGGCCCACTCTAACACTGGCCATGTTATAAAATAAGCCGAGTCATACCACTGATATGTAAGTCTTTATATGATGATGGATAGGTCTGGGAGTTGTATCTGTAAGCTCTGGTTGTGCTTGGTGATTTTTTTAAAAAAATAAATCCATTCTACGTGATCCTCATGAGCACAGGGGAGACTCCGGTTAATGACTGGCACTAGATCTCATATCATCAGGGTTGGCGCCAAGCTTCATGGCAAAGGCCGTGGGACAGCTATCCTTTCTCATTCCCTAGTGGAAGAAGTTTTGCTCCCTCTGCTGTCTGCTTTCACGACCCCATCCCTAAACTCAGTCCTAATCAGGTTCCAGAGGCTTAGTCCATAGTCACTGACCAAGAGGCAGGCAGCAGTCATGGGGTTCTGTTTGGCCCTCGCTGTAGCAAGTCAGATCCTGGGACTCAAGTCTAAAGACTAGATTTAATTCCTTTCCATCCCTAAAGCAAGAACTAGTTCTCTCTACATCACATTGCTTATAGTTAGGGAAAGGATGACATCGTGTAGTGGCATTTCAACTGTATTTTAATAAATAAAGACGGCCTGAAGATCTGAAAGTAAAACAGTCCCACTGGTCAGCCTTACAGACCAGGTTATGGTAACACACACCTTTAAACTCAGTAGCCACAATGACACGCACATTTAATTTCAGTAGCCATGATGATACATACCTTTAATCCCAGTAGCCACACTAGTTGCTATAGAAACCGGGCAGTGCATGCCTTTAGTGATGGTGGCACATGTCTTCAATTCCAGCCCTAGAGAGAAATATAAGAAGGGGAAGACCACTCTCAGACACAGTCTCCTTCTGAGATTCCAGGAGGCAGGATCGCCATTTCAGACTGAGGTTGAGGAAAGAGCCAGTAGCTGGCTGTTTTGCTTTTCAGATCTTCAAGTTAAACCCCAATTTCTCTGAGTTTTTATTAATTGTGCTTCAGCATAGGCAGCTTTCTTCCTCCCACTTTTGTTACAGTTTCTTGCTTTTTTCCTCTACTGACTGAAACCAGGCAATGTGGGCCCCTACTTGGTAGCTGGGTGCTTGATTGGCTGCTTACATCAGGGTGTCAGAGATGATGGCTGGAGGGTCTTCCTCAGTTGTCTCTGTGCCCTCTCGTGCTCATTAATGTTTATTGAGTGTGTTGCTTTCTAGAATGTGCACTTAGGAGAACAGAGCTCATGTTCTCATGCTTCCCATACTCTCATGAAAGAGCAGAAAGTAACTTAAAAGTTACTAAGATAATAACCCTAATTTGTATATTGTTCTAAGGTGAGATACATGTTCTAAATAATGAGAATATTAAGGAAGAGAAAAGTAATTGAACCGAGACTGGCATATAAATGAGGGTTTATTGAAGAAAATATTTCAAATAAATTGTTGGAAATATTTTAATATGCATTTCGATTTTCATAACATTTCACTTTAAAATTGTGTGTGGTTAGCACTAGCCACACAGTTATATTAGCCGTATATAATAGGTAATAGATGTATTTATTATATATTAGATGATAGTCATCTCAATAGATCATAAGAATCTTTTAGTAAAATTCAACTCTTACTAATAAGACCTGTATATTTGTGATTTGGGTTGTTCTTAAGCATTTTTAGCTTAATTATTTTTTTCTTATTTTTCTTTTCCAGTGTTTTTCCTATTTTATAGGACGTTATTCTCCCTCTATGTGTATATGTATATGAGCACACATGAACACCCACAAATTTCTATTTATTGTATAAGCTCTCATGTTTGCTTTGTTTCTCAGGTTAATTTTGTCCAGTAAGCATTATTTATGTATAAAGAAGTCTGTCTCCTCTAAATATCTATTTTACTAATTTTATGTCTCCACGTGTGTGTGTCTGTATGAGTGGACAGAGGACTGTGTGAGTACTGTTGGAGATCAGGAAATGCCCTGGGTCCCCGGGCACTGGACAACCATTGACATGAATGCTATGATTCAAATCAAGTCTTATGCAGGAGCAGCAAACATCCTTACCATTTAGTCATCTCTCCAGCCGAGTAAATCTATGTCATATTTTATTTGGGATTCAAGTACATGGCTGAATTAATAGTACCAATGGCATAAATGCTGCCTCTACTACTGGAAATCATTTGGAGACATCACAGGGCTTTATAATTGTGGTAGTGCTCCTGTCTGGATCCTTCCATTATGACATCAATTTTCTGCCTAATGTGCTTTTTGTTATTCTCAAGAATGACTGCGGAACTTTAGGACATGTTTCTTACCATCGGTTGAAGTACCCATATGGTTCTACTTTCAAGTTTGCTGAAGTTACATGTTACTAATGTGTAAGCATGTGTTCAGTCATCTGTGCCTTCGACAGAAGCTCTCCTTTCTCATGAAGTATCACTCCATGTCTGTGGAAAGTGTCCAGGACTCTTAGTTTTGAAAAGCCATGACTGAGTTTGAGCGTTCTGCTTGTATTTGACTATTGTGCCATTTAGTTCTCATTAACATATCATGACTACATCTATCATCACAAAGTAGCTGTTAGAATTAAACAGAATGGTAAAAGACTTATATACAAAACAATGGAAACCATAGACCTAAAGAGCTCAAGTTCATTGAATCCCTCCTTTATGCAGATATCTTTAATTCCAACAGCACTGGAGCCATCCAGTGAACAGATGAGGAAACTAAAGTCCTTCATGCTTCATGTCCTTTATGATGGTGTCAGTGATAGAAACGCTACATAGAGTTGTTAGACAGTTTGGAGATCCTAACCTATCATTTTTGGTTAGTAGCTCTGACTACCTCCTCAAGATTAAAGCCTGTTTTGATGGTTAGAAAATTAAAATGGCCAATGGGGGGTGATATTTTAAAGATTTTCCACTAGGTGGCATCATGAGCCTATCAGAATTGCTTGAACTGGGTATTTAATCACCAGTTAAATACTAATTAATTAAAGATGTTGGTAAATGGACCTCACTGGAAAGATCAGCATCTGAGAAAGCTGAGTTGCCTGTTCCACTTTTTTGGCACGTGTTAAAGGTAGTACCAAGAGTAATAATCATGCTAAAGGTAGCAACCGCATAAGCTAAGGACAGCTTTGTTGGGTCCTCACTTGAATAACTGTGCTATTAGCAAAAGCACAGGTTATAGTCTTACAATAAAATGTCAATGATATCTTATATAAATAACTAAACATTCTTTTTACTCAACCAAATTGCACATCCTCTTCATAAGCTATTCCAGGAGAAAGGAAGCTGGATAGGATAGCAATGCTTAAATCATTTTAGGTTTAACTGATAGTTGTCATATTTGGTCATCTTTTGGGGATGACTGTTGGTGGTAAAAACACTGGCATAGAATTTAGGGAGTAAGAATAGATCCAGGTGCTCCTAATTCTTTCAATACTAACTGATCCTAGAGCCCAGACAGTTCAATGGCTTCCACTTACACACCTTCCACTATGAGTTGTGCTGCTATATTAGGATGTATATTAAATGCATCATTGAACTTAACATAATCGTAGTAAATAGGAGAGTTTTCCATGTCATTCAAAGAACATCTGTATATTGAAAATGTTCCCTTCATTTAGTTTCTTGAGAAAGAACACACCCAGGTGAGCAGCTTGCACATAGTCATTCTGTGTATATTCTGATTATCAATGACTCGAAATGATTGGCGGCACGATCGCTTTCAAAGGAAACTCCTCACAACTGGAAAACAAGTAGGCTTTTTGTTAGCAATTATTTAATGATTTTTATAAATGTGCATGCCTGATAAAGAACAAAAATCACCTTCAAATGGCCAGCAAGTCTTGGGCAAGAACAAGAAACGAAATCCCTAAGACAGAACATTATCTAAAGTAAAAATTTCAAGAAATTAAGGATACGGAAGAGAATTAAGAAAGCTGCCCTGGGTTAAATTGTTAGTTTCACGCATTATTTCTGTTTGTGTAATTCAATCCTCTCTGTTAGTTAGTAAATGGACAAGGCTGAAGTCATTGAAGTCAGGTCACTCTTTTGAAATCAAAGGTCAAGTAGAACATTCACCGTCAGGTTGCCTAGTTTTCAAGTGTTGAGTCATGCTGGCTAAAGGGCAGGGGTACGAATGGTAGGAGAGATGGATTCACACCTCACCCAGGTCATGTGAGTGACAATCAGTTCATTCTGGCACTGGAGAGCTCTCTTGGTGTCTGAGTCAGAATTTCTAACCAATGGGAACAAGGGAAACTCAAGCTGCCCCCTTTAATTCAGGAGGAGAAAAATGTGTGGAATGTTATTTGACTCACTGTGACCTCAATTCAGACAACATGCCTGGGCAGGTGAGGCCGCCTCTAGCATCCAGTAGCTGGAAGCACCAAGGGTACCTTGAAGTTCTAACGTTTCAAACACAGAAGCACTTGCCATGAGAAAAGAGTCTCCCGGGCGCTGATGAAGATTTCAGACAATGGGATTCATTTAAAAAACAAATCACCCACATAGCAGAGTATGTGATATCAAATAACATCTCTTCCAAGAAGTGCCAAACCTTGTCTTTGAGAACAGTTTTTGACTTTTGTCAACAGGCCAAATGCAGGTAGCTTGGAGGGAACAAAGGATGACTTTAGAAGTCTGAAGAACTGGAAAAGTGAACACTACAGTACTTTTTTTTTTTTTTTTCAGTTTCCACACTTTCCGTGACTGTGGTAAGGGCAGGTTGAGGTGGAGAGCTGTTAAGATTTGGTAATGTATGTGTCCTCTCATTAAAGGAACAAAATGTGACCACTTACATACTCCACTTGGTGGACTTTGGAAGGACCTGGCACACCATGTCTGGACATACCCACTTGAGGATGCCCAGATCTAAGAGCTGGGTTTTAGTTACTTTCTGTTACAAGAAATTTCAAAAATCACTTGAATTTATACTATTGATACTGAACCTATAATTTCATGTTATTTTCTTCAAAAATAATCTAATGCTCTATCTAATCTAATAAATGAATTAATTTTACTAAAGTGAAATTCATCTCATTTGTGATAATGGGATTTGGCTTAAAGTAAACACGAGAAAGGACTAAAAGGAAATCCATTACACTAAAGCCAAGTATGAAGAATTGACTCAATAAGTTCTCCATCTTCTTCAGTTCTAGGATTATGTTATTTGGACCAATAATGCAAGATAAGAGACTTAGACAGACAGGTAAGATAATTTTACAGGTAAAATCTCACGTCTTGACTTGGAAGCGTATAGCAGTTTCTAGAGACAGCTAGGTGGAAAGCCTATGGCGTCTGCTATTACTCCATCAGTAGTGAGTCACCGCCATCACTGCTCTTGAATTTCCAGTGAAGCTGTGATCACAGACGAGAGTATAACTCACTACCAGAATATTAAAATCTACCTTAGGAGAACAAGAGGACATCTGGAGAGATGTAGACTGAGAAGAACCTGATGTGGGAAACGGCCCCAGCTTTGCCTTTGGGAAGCTCATGACCTACTCGGGCTCCAGTTTCCCTGGTCATATGAGATACAGTCACATCAAAGTCTTAGAGGTCTTAGAGGCAGAGAATTTCCACCCAGCCTGTCGAGTGGGATCACAGGGGCTTTGAAGAAGATTAGGTCCTTGAAGTAAGGCATGGTTGAATCCTCAGGGCTTATCATAGGACAGACCTTAACTAAAAGAGGTCAGGCTTATCAAATAGTAACTCTGAACGGGAAAGTAAAATTTGGATTTTTGAGAAATCATGAATAAAATGTTTGCGTGAATATATTCCGAGTATTTATCTGACAATCCTAGACATATTAGGAAGTTGACATT